ACATCCTGTAGAGAATGTCAGCAAGTGGGTCAACCTGGACATTGCATTACACCCGCACTACTTCATCCCATACCTGCGGATGGACAACCCTTTGCTGATTTAATTATTGACTGCGTGGGACCATTACCAAAAACCATATCAGGTAACCAGTACTTGTTTACAATCATGGACAAATTTAATAAGTATACAGAAGCAGTTCCGATGTGTAGTACAAACACTAAGGCCATTCTTAAAGCTCTTATTAAATTTATTTCCTACTTGCGCATTCCAGTATCTGTCCAGAGTGACCAGGGCACTAATTATACAGAAGAATCATTCAGAGAAGCTTTAACCAAGTTAGATATCCATAGCCTATCACCCTTAGTTTCAAAGCGCCTTGGAAAGGTTTCACCAAATTTTAAGAACTATGATGCATTTTCCTACATACAGAGATGATTCACTTCCTTTGGTGCTGTTTGCAATGTGAGAAACTGTGCAGGAATCAACGGGGTCCAGTCCATTTGAGCAAAATTATTGGACACAATGTAAAAGGTCCCTTACATGTGCTCAAGGAAGGATGGGTGGGAGAACACGCTTGCAAAACACTCTACAATCCTTCTTCAAGATTGCAGGTGGCCCGTCAGTTCGATAAGGCTAACTTTAAATCTGCTCAAAATAATATGAAACAGGTATGAGAGTACTGCAAAATTTCGTTCCTGTAATCCAGGAGTCAAGGTTTTGGCCCAGGAACCTGTACCTGGTCACACACTAAAAACTATATTTACGGGACCAATTCAAATAATAAATAAAATTTCTGATTTAATAATAAAATTATATGGAAGCACCTCTTGATAAACCCAATGGAGGTAAAATTAACCACATTAAACAGAGTAAGAGTGACCTTTCTGGCATATATTCGATGTCCAGTCCAGGCCGGTGTATGTGTATGTATGCGTATATACTCACCTAATTTTAATCAAGTAATTGCGGTTGGAGGGGTCGATTCTTAGCTCCTGGTCCCGTCTATTCATTGTTCACCATTATGTCCAATTTCCCTGCTCCATGAGCTTCATCACACCTCTTCTTAAAGCTATGTATGGATGATGCCTCCACTACATCACTTTCCAGACTGTTCCACTTTCTGAAATCTCTGTGACTGAAGAAATACTTCCTAACATCCCTGTGATATATCTGAGTCTTCAACATCCAATTGTGACCCCTTGTTGCTGTGTCTCATCTCTGAAACATCTTGTTTCTATCCACCTTGTCAATTCCTCTCAGCACTGTATGTGTCGTTATCATGTATTCACCTATCCCTTCTGTCGTTCAGTGTCATCAGATCGATTTCCCTTAACCTCTCTCGCTGGACATACCCCTTAGCTCCGGGACTAGCCTTGGTGCAAGCCTTTGCACTCTCTCTAATTTCATGATGTGCTTGACCACGTGTGGGTTCCAAACTGGTGCTGCATACTCAGATATGGGCCTGACATACACGGTGTACAGAATCTTGAACGATTCCTTACTGAGGTGTCAAAACGCTATTCTCAGGTTTGCTAGATTCCCATAAGCTGCAACTGTGCACCTCAGGAGATGTGTTTAGTATTATACTCACCCCAGATTCTTTTCCTTGAGTGAAGTTTTAAGTTTTTGACCCCCTAGCCTGTACTCCGTGTGAGGACTTCTTTGCCCTTCCCCAATGCTCATGACTTTGCGCTTGGTCGGGTTAAACTGTAGGGGCCTGTTGCTGCACCAGGCTTGCAGCCTGTCCAGATCCCTTTGTAGTTCTGACTGATTCTCATCCAATTGAATTCTCCTCATTAGCTTCATATTGTCTGCAAACAGGGCCGCTTCTGAATCTATCCTCTCGGTCACGTCATTCACATATTCCTGAAGCAATACTGATCCTAAGAACCCAGCTCGTCACTGGCGCCCACTCTGACACCTTATCATGTAACATGACTCGTTGCCTTCCTTTCAGGTTTTCTCTAACTTACTGCAGTGCCTTTCCTGTTATACCTCGCTGATCCTTTATCTTTCGCATTAATTTCTTGTGTGGATGTGTCGAAAGCCTTCCTACTGTCCACGAAAAATCAGTCTACCCCCTTCCTTGTCTTACTTCCATCACCTTGTCGTAAAGCTACAGTAGGTTTGTGACAGGATTTCCTGTCCATGAAAAAGCACTGGTTGTCGTGTATAAGCTCGTTCCTTTCTAGGTGCTCCACAACTGTTCTCGTAATAATCTTCCCCACGACTTTGCATATTATACATGTCACTGACACTGATCTGTAGCTTATTGCTGCGTGTCTGTATCCTTTCATTTTCTGTCTTCCACGTCAGGGAGCCGCCCTGTTTCGAGAGAAGTGTTGAAGATTGTTGATTGTGGCTCACACACAGTATCTTCACTCTCTCTCTCAGGACCCACATTGAGATGTCTGGTCCCACCCCGTTTGAAGTATCTAATTCACTCAGCAGCCTCTTCACCTCCTTCTCGGTTGTGTATTGTGTCCAAGGTCCAGGACTTGTTGGTGTACCACACCACTCCAGCTTTCTGGAGACCTTTCTGTCTCTACTGAAAATACTTCCTTAAATCTCATGTTGAGCTCTTCATATACTTCTCGGTCATTTCTTGTGATCTCTCCTTCTTTCTTCAGCCTGATTACCTGGTCTTTGCCTATTGTTTTCCTCCTGATGTGGCTGTACAACAACTCTGGGTCAGTCTTAGCTTTCGATGCTAGGTCATTTTCATATCACTGCTTGGCCTCCCTCCTTATCTGTGCATATTTGTTTCTGGCTCTACTTTTCCATTCTCTAGCCCACTTAGTTTTGGCTTCTCTAGACCTGTGTTCCCATTATTTCTGTTGCCCTTGAGTATGAACCTCTCCTCTGCCTCCTTGCATTTCGTTGTCACGTATTCCATTATTTCATTTATTGATTTTCCCACCAATTCTCTTTTCCAATGAACCTCCTGTGGAAAATTCCTTATACCTCTGTAGTCCCTCTTTTATAGTATGACTTCTCTCATCCTACTCTCCCTGTTTCCCTCTGCACTTGTAATTTTACTATGTGTTCATAGCTCAGGACCACATGATAATTAGCTCCAAGGGGCCTATCTTATCTGATGTCCTCACTGTCTGAACTGCTCAAGGTGAATGTAAGGTCCAGTCTTGCTGGCTCATCCTCTTCTCTCTCTCTCTGGTAGTGTCCCGAAGGTGTTCATGGATGAGGACCATGTTTCTGGTCCCTAGTGTGGCTACAGGTTTTCCCAGCCAGTTTCCATGCGGTTAAAGTCAAACGCAACTACTAACTTTGCCCTGCCCACTTGGACCCTTCTGGCACCTCAGCTAGTGCATCATCCAGTGCTCTGTTGCTCTCATCATTCTTGTCTTGGCCTCCTACTATTCTGTGGTGGGTTATACATCGCTGCAATCACCAACTTGGGACCTCAAGTCTGAAGTGTTTCTACTATGTAGTCCCTTACTTCCCCTCCGTCCCCTCCTTCCAACTCCTCAGAACTGGTTTTTAATGAGCTGTGCAACTCATCCACCCCTATTCCCTCTAACTTTCTTCAGGATTTGATATCCGGTTGGAATGGCATCTGTTATCATTCCTAGAGTGTTGTAACGTCTGTTGATGCCTCTGTGATTCATTCATGTCACTCCTCACACTTATTTGTTATTCCATCTGGGTTGGTGTACCTTACCTTCAGCTTCTTTTCCAACACTATACGGGGGGGCTTGTGGGGGTTGGTGGATTGGGAGACCTGGCAGGTTGTTAAGGGAGTCTACTGTGTAAGGTGGGGTGGGGTCTGTCAGTGTTCGACCTCTCCTCTGGGGTCTCTTTTTTTTCTCAATGAAATTCTTTATGTTAACCTCTCTGTAAAGTTCCCAATGTTAACTTCTCAGTGAAGTTCCTAAAGTTAAACTCTCAGTGAAGTTCCTAATGTTAACCTCTCTGTAAAATTCCTAATGTTAACCCCCCAGTGAAGTTCTTAGTGTTAACTTCTCAGTGAAGTTGTTAATGTTGACCTCTCAGTGTGTGTGTCTGTGTCTGGTTTCAATATAAAGTGACAGAGGGGATGACTGCTATCTATGTCGCTACAACACAATATATATCACAACACACTTTGGTTAGTGGAGTATTATTTAAATAATATATTATACAAATTATCAATATTACACATTCACCCAAGTCGACCACAAAGATTATGCTTCACCAGAGTAGATATAACTGATGTATGACAATTACGAATTATCATAACACTTCGCTTTCAGTATATTCGGTCACCTATTAAAATCAATTTTATGGTTTTTATAATATTGGATATAATATCTGAACGGTAATTAAATAATTTCTGCATTTATAAATCTACAATTAATTTTGTCAACTAATCACCATTGTTGTTGAAAATCTGCGTTAATTCATTCATAAAAATAGTCCTTACTTCTCTGTTTACTACGTCTAGGTTGCCAGATGTCACTTCTGCCCAGGAGAGAGAGTACAGGAACTTTTTACCGCACTGTACAAACTGCACATGCACAGTTGTTTTCAGTGTAAACATAATATAATATAAACTATCAATTACACGATGGTCATGAAGGCTACATGTCACTTTTCATCATCAGCCAAAAATATTTTAAACTCCAAAATAGTGATTAAAGTAATCTCTCAGAATATTTATACTGTGAGACAAACCTCATGGTGAATATGTCATTGTTTAAGAATATATGCTGAGTTTCTATATTTTGAAAAAAATAATAGCAAAGTGAAATACCTAACTATTATGTTTCCTTAATTATGTGAAATTTGGTGCTATTCAATTGATAAATGGAAACATTCTTGGAATTTCCTTGAAGAGACAATATATTCAGTGTCCTTGCTATTTCGCACTGAAATGCTCATATTTATTTTTGCAGCAAACATGTACATTGTTTTAATATTGCCGAAGGTAATCTAAAGGAATCTGCACTATTTGTGCGGAAATTAATAAAGAAATAGAAACAATATTTGCTGAGCAGAAATACCTTTGGTTTGACTTGCCAGATTTGTTTTGGAAGAAGTTCCTTGGGAAGATGTGATTTTATGGTCCTTGGTGCTGAGAGGTTTTGCACGATGTGCCATGTGTTGCCTGGACACATAGGATCATCCTTCCTTATGTCAGTGGTGTCCAGGTCAAGAGATATGAGAGAATCGAACCTAAAAATGATATTTCTTTGTACAGAAAAATACAAAATGTATGATATCTGAAATGTCAGTTTACTATGTTAAGCAAGAGTAGGTTTCTCACTTTGTCTGCCTTTCCTTGTAAGGAGTAAACAAACTGTCAACTTTTAATAAATTAAATTCACCAGTAAGACACAATGGCAACAGTTTGGTTTCTTTATGGAAGAAACTTTTCCCCTGTTCAAAAGACTTCTTGAGTCGAAAAATAAGGAAGACAGCATATGGAGATGTAATATACTAAAATCTATAGAAGTGAACTCACACCAAGACTGGTGTACTGACGACCTCAATTTACTTCATCACAGAGGAACTCATCAACTCAAATCTACTTTTCCTTATGTCATATTTCCTCTGTATTTCGACTGAAGAAGCCAACTGAATAGGAGAAAAATTTTGTCAAGAGAGATAGGAAGTTGTTGGACATTTGTCACATTTGTCTTTCTTATCCAGCTGACAGTAATGTCTTACTTTAATATAATGATCTAATGTTTTTCAGAATATAATAATGATAAATAATAATAAAAATACTACTACTTCTACTTCGCATAATAAAAATATAATAATAAAAATAAATGAGTAAAGTTTTTATTTGAACAGGATATATCATTCACATGACTCAAGAAATCGTAATGACACGATTGCAAACAAACCATACCCCCGGCCGGGATTGAACCCGCGGTCATAGAGTCTCAAAACTCCAGCCCGTCGCGTTAGCCACTAGACCAGCTAGCCACAATAAGATTCATCCAACTAGGTATATTTCTACACCATAGGAAGGTTAGCACAGGCACCACTGTGACCACAAATCGTGTCATTACGATTTCTTGAGTCATGTTGACGGCAGTGAAGGGACTTGAGCTAGAGTTCGTCACGGCCACGCTAGCTGGAGATTCGTCTGTAAAAACCTGCATTTGTGGTCACAGTGGTGCCTGTGCTAACCTTCCTATGGTGTAGAAATATACCTAGTTGGATGAATCTTATTGTGGCTAGCTGGACTAGTGGCTAACGCCACAGGCTGGAGTTTTGAGACTCTATGACCGCGGGTTCAATCCCGGCCGGGGGTATGGTTTATATCATTCACAGTTTAAACAGTATCGTATATTAAAATATACAAAGGCCTCTATGAATTAGGAAACACAAAGTAGTTCTATTTATTTTAAAAGTTTATATGTAACCCGATTTAGTAGAAAATGCCTCACCCTACCTCGACCTGGTAAAGTAGAGTCACCTTCCGTAATTACTCTCTCAACCCTGACGATTTAGTCATCAGGTATAAATATAAGGTTATTGAGCAAAGTCGGAAATTAAAGCCATTTTGTATGCTTGCCTTATTCGGCAACAACAACGTTGGTATTTAAGCCAAAATCTTAAGTTTTACCTATTCGGCACGACGCTGACTGATATCTACATCCATCACAGTGTCGTTTAAAATTAAGTCGTTTCTGAAATTTTCTCTTATACGTTTAAAGATATATATTTTTCATTAATGTTAATGTAAAAATTTTTAATTTTTACCAAAAGAATCTTAGAAAACTTACCTAACCTTATTATAACAAGAGTAACTTATTTTAGCCTAACCCAACTAAATATATTTTAGATTTGTTTACAATAATTAAATACTAAACAAACACAGTGAAATCTATTTTTTTCGTTAGGTTCAGAATGATTTTGGCGAAATTATTGCATACACAAATTTTCGCTTGTCCTATATGGCAAGATGAGCGTTGCTATTTAAGCCAAGATCGCAAGTTCTGCCTATTCGGCACGACATATATTATATATATATATATATATATATATATATATATATATAATATATAAATATATATATATATATATATATATATTATATATATAAGTAGTCAATTTTTCCACTGAGCGGTGTATCCGGTTTAGGGCCTTCCACTGAGCGGTGTATCCGGTTTAGGACCAGCAGCTGGAGGGTCACCTTTTCACACCTAGGTGTTACTTCCGGTTTTGACCATGACCTCGCCTCGAGACTACCTCACCCTTGACCCCCAACCAATACCCCCGCCCACGACCCCCCCCCCTTTGCGACCCCCTTTCGCGACCCCACAGTCGCGCCGTGCGCCCGCCCGCGCGCCCGACCGCGCGCCCGCCCGCGCCCTTCGCGACCCCCGCCCGCGCCTTCTGCTGCGCCTTCTGCAGCGTCATCCGGATCGCCCCCGCACCTCGAATTTTTTTCTTATGATCTCCTTGGATCAAGTTTTTTGGATTCCCCCCTATGGGGTTTCGATTTTTTTTTGAATTTCATTTTCTTGTGCTCTCCATCTCCTCGGATCAAATTTTTGAGGTTCCCCCTCCCACTTTCACCCCAACCCCAAAAATTTCTCAATATTACCAAGTTTTTGGATTCCCCCCTATGGGGGTTTCGAAATTCTCCAATTCCTCGGATCAAATTTTTCTCGAAATCAAAGTCTCCATCTCCTTGGATCAAGGGTTTTGAATTTCTCCATCTCCTCGGATCAAATTTTTGAGGTTCCCCCTCTCACTTTCACCCCCATCCCAAAAATTTCTCAATATTACCAAGACTCGATCTCCTCGGATCAAATTTTCTCGATAATACCAAGACTCCATCTCCTCAGATCAAATTTTTTGGATCCCCCTATGGGGGTTTCGAAAGTCTCCATCTCCTTGGATCAAGGGTTTTGAATTTCTCCAATTCCTTGGATCAAATTTTTGGGTACCCCTCCTTTCACCCCAAATTTTCTCGACAATACCATGACTCCATCTCCTCGGATCAAATTTTTGAGGTTCCCCCTCTCACTTTCACCCCCCATCCCAAAATTTCTCGATAATACAAGTTTTTGGATTCCCCCCTATGGGGGTTTCGAAATTCTTATGATCTCCTCGGATCAAGTTTTTTTGGATTCCCCCCTATGGGGTTTTCGAAATTCTCCATCTCCGTGGATCAAGTTTTTTGGGTACCCCTCCTTTCACCCCAAATTTTCTCGACAATACCATGACTCCATCTCCTCGGATCAAGTTTTTTGGATTCCCCCAATGGGGTTTTCGAAATTCTCCATCTCCTTGGATCAAGTTTTTTGGTACCCCTCCTTTCACCCCAAATTTTCTCGACAATACCATGACTCCATCTCCTCGGATCAAGTTTTTGGATCCCCCTCTGGGGGTAAGCATGCTTACTACAGGTCTAAACAAGTCAAATGACCTAAGAAGGGTGTTTACTCGGCAGTCAGTATTCCTCTCATTAAGTTAAATGAACTAAAAAAGGACCACATATACAAGCTGAATCTTGTCGACCCTTTTAGTTCATTCAAGTTAATAAGGGGACACTCACCTTCTGACAGTGACGTCACGTGATGACCGCGCACACAGGCTGAATCTTGTCGACCCTTTTAGTTCATTCAAGTTAATAAGGGGACATAGTACCTACAACAGGGAAAACATTTTCACTCTTAACCCCAATTTTTCTCGTTTTAACCCTTTTAGTTCATTAAAGTTAATAAGGGGACACAGTACATCAGAAAGTCACATTTTTTTCGTTAATACCCACAATTTCTTTACAACACAAGTCTAGACATTTTTTTAACTATTTCATCTCAGGTCACTCCCCACGAAGTAACCTCCTCCCCACCCTCCCAAACCCTCACACTCCAACCAACATCTCACAATTTTTCACTCATAACCCCAATTTTTCTCGTTTTAACCCTTTTTTGTTCATTAAAGTTAATAAGGGGACACAGTACATCAGAAAGTCACCACATCGCTTACATCCACTTTCGTTAAATTCACTACTCACAATTTTACATATTACGAAGTTAAATACGCACTTTTACTTTGAACATCTTCAAAACACTCATAAATCATTTGAATACTCACAAAAAATACCTTTATACATTTCCAAACAACACTGAAATACTCCAAAAACATCATTCGAACACCCCCAAATCACCTCTGAATACTCCCAGAACACCTTCATAAGTACTCTTGCACATCATTTGAACACCTTCATAAGTACTCTCATAATCATTTGAACACCTTCAAAACACCCTTGAACACCTTCAAAACACCCTTGATCACCTTCAAAAAACAACATTTGAACACACTCAAATCACCTTTGAACACCTTTGAACATCACCAAAACACTCTCATAAATCATTTGAATACCCACATAAACACCTTTGAACACATTCAAAACACTCTTGAACACCTTCAAAAACACCTTTGAACATTTTCAATCAACACCGAAACACTTCCAAAAAAACACAATTTGAGTACTCCCAATTACACCACTGAATACTACTAAAACACCGCTGAATTCAATCAAAACACCCTTCAACACCTTCAAACACCCTTGAACACCTTCAAAACACCCTTGATCACCTTCAAAAAACAACATTTGAACACACTCAAATCACCTTTGAACACCTTTGAACATCACCAAAACACTCTCATAAATCATTTGAATACTCACATAAACACCCTTGAACACCTTCAAAACACTCTTGAACACCTTCAAAAAACACCTTTGAACATTTTCAATCAACACCGAAACACTTCCAAAAACACAATTTGAGTACTCCCAATTACACCACTGAATACTACTAAAACACCGCTGAATTCAATCAAAACACCCTTCAACACCTTCAAAACACCTTTGAACACCTTCAAAACACTCTTGAACACCTTCAAAAACACCTTTGAACATTTTCAATCAACACCGAAACACTTCCAAAAAACACAATTTGAGTACTCCCAATTACACCACTGAATACTACTAAAACGCCTCTGAATTAAATCAAAACACCCTTCAACACTTTCAAACACCCTTGAACACCTTCAAAACACTCTTGAACACCTTCAAAAACACCTTTGAACATTTTCAATCAACACCGAAACACTCTCATAAACATTTGAATACTCACATAAACACCCTTGAACACCTTCAAAACACCTTTGAATATCGTTTTTAAACTAATTTCATCACAACC